AAAAAGAAAAAAAAAAAAAATATATTTTTAATAAGTTTTTTTGTCTTTGAAATAATTTCTTTGTACATTTTTTTGACTATCGTAATTTCATATTCTAAGTTTTGTGTACTTCATTATTTTTTGAATACATATGAAACAAAATAAAAAGTAAGAATAAAATCTAAATCTCATTTGTAAAAAAAATAAAATCAGAAAAATGAGGCAAACTAGAAGTATGAATAAAATGAAGAAAACAAATACTAAAAATGTAAATAATGTAATAAGAAATAAAAAAAAAGTAAAAAAAAAAAAAAATATATATATTAGAAAATTATCTTACTAAAAATATAACTATCTATTTATTTTAATTAATTATATATATGTTTCAAGTAATTAATAAAATTACAATTTTTGAAATTATAATAAAGTATATTCGAACATATATTAACATAATATAGTTTCAATAAAACATTGATTTTTTAATAATTATATATTTTTAAATATTTTCTATGTATCAACTTAATTATTTCTTTAATATATCTAAAAATTTGTATATAAAAACCTATGCTTTTACAATGTTTAAGATGATTCTGCTTGATTAGAAATAAATTATAATTTGCTTATTTTTTACTATATTTTATATTTATTATGTATATAAATTTACATATATATGTATATATATTTACATATTTATATATATATATATATATATATTTTTTTTTCATTTGTTTAATATATTATTATTCAATTAGTTTCATTAAATATTTAATATATTTGTTTATAATTTAATTTTTATTAGTATTATATGTATTAGTTTAACTTTTTGACATATTATGTTTTCATTTATTCATTAATTATACTTTTCTAATATACAATAGTTGTATAATTGTATATATTTTAGAACACAGTCTTATAAGTATTAATGCACTTAATAAATACATTTTTTAAAATTATTACATATTTTAAAATATATATTTTTAATTACATATATATATATTTTATGAGAATTATATTATAAATTTAAATATATACTTCTTAATTTTTTTTACATATGAAAACAATAATTTTTAATTTTTATAGGAAACTGAACAACCAATTAAAAAAAATAAAATTGTAAAAAGAAAAGTTAGAAGAAAAAGAGCAAGAACAGTTAATAAAAATTCTACAAAGAAAGTTCTTAAAAAAAATGATGTTTATCAAAATAAAGAAAATTCTGATATAGCACCTACAAAAAAAGAAATAAATAAAACAGAAAATAATTCAAATGAACAGAAAGGATATTTTACGTGGTTATGGAAATATATGCCCAAATTACATACATAATTTTGTTTTTATTTTTTTTAAATATATAGGATAAAAATATAATACATATATTTTAATATTTTTTTTTTTCTTTTTTTTTTTTTTTAAGTAGAATGCACATTATTATACAAAATTGAATATTTACTGTTTTTTTTTTTTTTTTT